TACTCCTTTCTCAACTGTAGAACTGGATCATGATGTGACAATTGCGGTATCATTCTCAAAGCTTGTGACATCCATAGACAATTTTTGTATTTATTCTTTGCATTTGTTTTTGGTATTATAACTGTTTACCGTTATAAATGATCTTTGTAGTTGTTTTTGCATTGTCAAAGTTTGTGACTGCTTTCTTTGGGCAGGAGGTTGAGGAGTATTTTACCAATTACATGGTCAATGACAGTCTGGGAATAATTGCCAATGCACACACTGTCTTTGCTGACAGACAACCAGAAAAAGCCATGTCTGCAGAATGTCTTAAGCTTGCAAAGCTGTTTTCAACAGCAGTCGACTTTCCAAAAACTGGTGTTCCTGCTGTTATTCCTCGTGCACTGTATGTCAAAGAATATCCGGACTTCATGGAGAAGTCTAACAGAGAAACCTATATATCACCTAATATAATAGGAAAGCTCTATAGGGAAGTTATGGAAACAATTTCATCAAGTGATGGTGGCTATGTTTCATCCTTCACCCAAGAGGTCGCGAGAAGGTCTTACGACTTTAACATGGAAGTTGATGGCTTTATGGATTATGTTGATGATGCTTTCTATCACAAAACCAATTATGACTACAAGTTGGGAAATCTGATGGATTACTATGGCATCAAAACTGAAGCTGAAATCCTCAGCGGTAATATCATTAAACTGTCAAAATCCTTCAACAAAAGGAGGGATGCAGAAGCAGTAAATCAAGCTATGACGTCCCTAAGGAAAGACGCCCGGTCCTGGTTCAATGAGGGCAGAAATGGTGTGCATTCTAGAAATGGTGATGATAAATATGCAAAAGCTTCTGCTTGGTACCATGTTACTTACCATCCAAGCTATTGGGGTCGCTACAACCAAGGGATGGGTAGGGATCATTATCTAAGTTTCCCATGGTGTGTTTTCCCTCAGCTTCTCCAAATCAAGAAAAAGGTTTCCAATAGAAGGTACTCTTAGGCATACAGATTGAGTGGGTTGCATTTGAATTGATAACTCTGGATTTCTGAGGTACCGATTACAGAATACAACTGTATTTCATGCTCATGTTTACGTAACATTGAGTGGATAATATGTCTATAACATTAAGTGCATGTAGATATGCAAATGCGGCTTTTAATGATCTCGTTGCAGCATCTAAATGTTACGTAATATAACCTGTGGTACTGTTTGACTATATATATATATATATATATAATTTATTTATTTATTTATTTCTGCTGTGGATAGATAATAATATGAAAATACGTTTTCTTTCTTTTTCTTGTCTCTGTTTTGTTTCATTGCCTCTCTTACATGGTATGAAGAGCAATTTTTTTTATCCATGGTTTCTCCATCATCATCTATTGCTCTCACCACTGATTTTGTCAGAAAATGAGACTTTTCTATATATTTCAAGATCGTTCTCTTTTTCTTGCTTGTTAAGTTTTGTGAAAAACTTGTTTGTTAAACACAACTCAAGACCAAGAACTTACTGAACTAAGCTAATATGACCAATTGCTAATCACGAACATAGTTTATAAGCTCAAAGGAAATTAATCACATGCATTCTCAGTTGGACCAAAAAAATAATTGACGAAAAAGGGAAATAAGTCATGAATTATGCAGAGTTAAAATTGATCGTTGCAAATTTAACAAGGAAGATGAATGACCTAATTAGTGCTCAAAACTCAGAAGAAGTGTGATCAAAAGCCAAATGGGAAAAGCAAAGAACACTTATAAACAACAGTAGCTAGAACCTTGTAACTTAAACTTGAGATTAACACACCAAAAATCAGAATGGGGTTTGAAGGAGTTAAACCCAACATTCTACCAAGCTGAAAGGTGCAAAAACTGAAGCTACTAAACAAGAGAAAGTGAAAACAATTGAATACAAATAAGTTGGAAGCAATAAAACAATGATCTACAGCAAAAAAAAAATTAAAAATAAAATGAGTAAACATGTTTAGAAGAGGTAATATCAAACTTATGCATATAGATTTTATAGCAAGCCGAAATGAAAACTCAAGTTGAACACTAGAAGCATAAATAATTATGTATGAGTGATGAGTGCATGTTTATGTCTTCGTTTAGTCTTTAACGTTTAATTCTTAATTCGGATTTGCTTTTGGTATCGCTCCAAAAGACCTCTTACTAAGGGATGTATCTTATGTGTATATAAACCCATGTGTATTTCATATTTTATCCGATGTGGGACTTTGTTTGTACCCAACATAGTGTCATGACACCTTAAAGATAAATCTAAGAATATCAAATAATCAAGACCACAAGAAGTCAATCCAAGCATAACATGAAAAAACAAAGAAATTTGGTTAAGCCAAGACTCAGAGAACAAGCAACAAAAATTGGATCTTGCAATTTTCTCTATTTTTTCTACTAAAAAGGCTAAAAGGCTTTGATAATTGATAAATGTTTATGATTAAAGATAATTTGGAGAAAATATATCTTAAGATATTTTATTTGATATTGTTAAATAATTATCTTATTTAACTATATCAAAAAATAATATTTGCCAAATTTTTTTAATCTAACAAATATTTTTTCAAATATTTGTAGATCTTCACAACAAACAAATAAATTTTAAAGATATTGGATTATTTAGAAGATAATTGAAAGATATTTCATTATCATAAGTAACTTAATAGTGTAATTATGAAAAATTTTATGCACCAAACAAGCAATAAAGATCAAAGCTAACAACAACCTACACCAAGGGAATCTCACGCAAAAAAAATTGCTCTCAGTAGAGACTTCCAATTGAAGATCTGAACGATCAAAATAAAGAACCATGAGTCTAGGACTAACTGTCAAAATTTTAGCTCGATCCGATGGTTAATGAAGCAAGAGAATCCTAATTTTTGTGAGATAACTCAGGATTGAAAATATGGTGTCGTTTGAGTGAAAATATTGTTTCTTGGGTGATAATTGTTTCACTTGAACGATAATTTACTCGCTTGAGTGAGAATTTGACAGAAACTAGATTAAGTTAAGTTCATATGGTATTTCCATTTGAGTAAAAATTTGACAAAGACACACCAAAATTACAATCATATATCAATTTCAACTTAGACTTATATATATACAACTTAATTCAACTATAAAAAAAATTATGCAAAGGTACCAATTTCACATTATAACAATATTGAGCTTAAAAACAAATCAATTTGCAAAAGAGTTATAACTTTCCTTAACCTCAAAATATCTATTTCTTATAGCTCAACCTTTTCTAAATGGGGATGAATCTATCTTTTCTAGATACTGTGTTTGAAAAAATTAATTGGTCTTTGACACTCCAACTATTCAGAAGCCCAATTAATTTCTAAAACAGACAAAGAGAGAAGGTGAATTTAAGAAAACAAAATGGAAGAAGTATGATTTACACTGTGGAGGACAAAAGGGGAAATGAGAAAGAACACGGTAATTTTCAATCTCCTTCCCTTGTATTATATTTATTATTTTATTATTATTTTTCTTTTACTATTCCCTCTGTGAATGCATTGCATAAAAAATAACATAAAAACATTGATGGACAAACAAAATTATGGGTCCATTTTGGAAATTTGATATAAAAGGACACTATAAGAAAAGTGAGTGTTAAAAAATAAGGTAAAGAAATAAAAAAGTTGAGTGATGAGAGTTCAAATTAAAATTTACTATAGTTCCAGATTGCATGATCTATTTTTAGAAGCATAATTTTAGAAGATTAATTAGTTCTCAATTTATCATTACCAAAATTAATTTATTAATTACTTATTATACCATAAAAAAGGTATTACATATTGCTGGATACTTTCTCCCAAAACGAATTTGATTACTTTACTTTATTCTTTTGTAAGTCAACACTCAACTCCCTTAATCCATACTTAAGCAACAAGCTGTTCTACTTGATTTGTGGAGAGAAAGGAAAAGTAAAACAATCAAACCAACCCAAGAATCTCAAGTAGCTTTCTTTAAGATAAGTTAATTTAATTTTTTTTACCTTGTGAAATAATTCATTTTAATTTATTGTTTTGATGCACATGGTTTTTTCAAGTATTAAATTTTTTAATAACTTATTTTTATTTTTATTTTAAATTTATTTCAACTTCAATTTGTTGTCATTTTAGTTTTTTTTTCAATGTATTTAAATATTTCTGTAACATTTGCTTATTTTTTTGTTTTAATACATAAATTTTTAGTTGTATGAATCAATAATTTTTTAACTTATCAATTAGCAAAATTATTCATAAATTTTAGTTTAATTAAATTTTAAGCCTTTATAAATTTAAATTCTTTTAAACAAATCTCTATTAATTAATTACTTTTCATTTTACAACAAAACTATTTTATATTAATTTTAAAATCTTACCTTTCTTAACACATAGAAACAAGATTACATCATAAAATAACATCACTTTCTTCTGTTAATGAAAAAGTTAAAGAACGGAATCATTTGAAAAATATAAATATTTTAAGTATTCAATACATTTGAAAAAATTTAATATAAATTAAGAGCCTTAAAACTTAATTAAATTTATATTTTATATTCATTAATTTTTATTTTTTTTAGTGTAAATTATTTTTATTTTTTATTACTTTTCTAGTTTTTTTCACGTCTAATCAATCACCTAGGTGAATAATATAATTGAATTTTCAAATGAAGGAATAATTGATGCAGAAAAAGTTAACAACTGCTTGGAGAAGAAGGAGTCGTCCTGATTGGTCAATGAAAAAGAAAACTGTACAGTGATGATGTACGGAATCAGTACTTTAATGTGTATTTTATTATTATTGGATTATCCAACAATTAAATGAATATTCTATTTGTTATTTTGTGACTATATGGAAAGAGATGGGTATCTGGTGCGGTAAGCTACAATGAAATCCTTGCAAATTAACCGTTGTGATTTTTATGTCTTTTGGACTACCTAAAATCCACACCGTTACAGTGTCCTACCATTCATAAATTCCAAACGTTTATTTTAAGAAAATCTATATAAATTCCTTTACTCACTACACTTCATGGCTTGACTTTGGTCTTTTCTCATTCTCAGTCTGTATAGTTGATGCCTTCAGTCTTCAATATTGGGTAAGTTTCAGATTCTTCATTCTTTTGCTCATTCTTTTTGTGGGTATGTTCTTGATCACTTGATAATGCTTACTTAATCCCAAAGTCTTTATCTTGTCACTGATAGTAAGTTATGTTCTCATGGTTTCATGACTGAAGTGTGAGGATGTGCATTGCACACCGAGAATGTCTTGATGGTTGTGAATACTTTTGTTGTTGTTTATTTCTTTCTTTGTTTTCGCGTATTGGGTCATCTTCCGAGATATGTTTGATCGTAAGGTTTTTTTTTCTTAGTTTAAGCAAAATGGAGAACAACATATTTATTGGATTTTGTACCAAAATATTATAGCTGTTCTGATGGTGTTCCAAGAGGTCGAGACAGTTTTTCTGATACAACTTAATGGGTTTTATGTCTAGCCATTACTTTCATGGGTTTTTCTTTCTTTCTTAGTTTTTAAGGTGATATATTTTTTCTGAAAGAAAATGTCATAAGTGATGCCGTGAGAAAATAAGAGAAAAATGTAAAGAAAATTGCGTGAAAAGAAAATGAAAGAAAAACTATCAGTTTCTTGGTTCTGTGTTTCTGTTCTGAATTTTCTGCGTATCGTTATATCAATGTCCTGGATTGTGTTACTGAACATGGCTGGACTATATGAACTCTTTGCATATTTAAGAATCAAAGCGAAAGAGTTCAGTTACTTTTTAGGAAACTCAGTGACCTCAAGAATGCAATATGGTATCTATAGGGACTTCATTTTGTTTCTAAAACTTTTGCTGCTTGGAAAATAAATTGCAGTTTCGAAAGACATCACTTTACATTGTATGACATCATACATATGTTTTCCTGACTATGGTTTGACTGTAAGGGTTTTTGCATATTTAAGTTACATTCTTAACGTTCTGTGTAAGGAGGATACATTTTGAACCTCCACTTTCCTTCTGAGGGTATGCTGGATTTTAATGTTAGTCATTAGTTTGGAACTCTTTCTTCAGTTTGTATCTGCAAGAATATTTGGATAATCACATGCAATAAAGAACTGAACGTGTGAAAACATGTTGTTTCTCAACTAGGCCTACACTGAACTTATGTTTAGTCATTCAGAGAAACTTCAGTCATAAGGAAGTCATTAAGTTGTTGCAGATGTAGAGGTCATAAATTTAACAAATTGTGTGTATATATGCATTAAATATATAATGTCATGTATATGTACTTGAATAACATTCAGAAACTTTCACTGCTTTATTCATTAGAAATCTGTGAATCTCCTTGTTAATCCAAATAGATATCTTTTAATTACTCGGTGTGACATTGCTGTTTCATATTCTAAATTTTTTCTTGTTCTTCTGTCCAGGTAAGGCAAAAGAGTTTGCATTTAGGATGGGTAAAACAATTGAGTTGTATGGATTTCCTATTCCTGTTACAGCGGCTCAAGTGAAGATATTTGTAGAGAATTTTACTGGTGAAGGAACTATCCAAAAATTGAAGGTAAGACATGGCAAAGGTCGGGTTCCAAGAGCATTCGCTATTATTCAATTCACCACAGAAGAATTTGCTACATCTATGATGTCGAGGGCTAATAACGTTTCAAGAGCATTGCGGTATGGAACCGCTTATTTAAAAGCTCGGGTAATGGAAAGAGATATTGAAAAGATAAGTGAGAATGTGACTAGTTTGGAAGGTGTGAAACTGTATTTTGGCTGTCAGATCTCTAAAGGAAGGTTTGCTGTTTTGGAGAGAATGCAGAATGTCAGTTTAAGTTTTGGGAGTGGAAAGAGAAAGGTGGAGTTGAAATTTTCACGTGACTTTGTGCAATACAAACTTCAGCTTTCATACGAGAACATTTGGAAGGTTGAGCTGCTTCGACCACGGGATAAAACTGCACGTTATCTCCTTGTTCAGGTAGTCAAATTTATTTTTTATTAGCTTAAGACAAATTTGATTTCTTAGTGAACTTATTGATGGGTATGTTAAAAAAATAATGCTACTGTGAATTGGAGTAGAATCATGACAAATACATTGCTTGGGTTTTGAATCCAGGGATCTGCAATTGGAGTATGGAATTATTAACTTGTTAGTTTTGCTTGCTAAAGCACTAGTTAAATCCTTCGCATGCCATAGCATCTTGGTCAACGAGAACTCATTTAACAAAAATAAGAAACATAACAACAGAGCACAAAACATGTGAAATGAGGAGGACATGTAGCTATTTATTGCATTAGATTTTACTTAAAGCTAACTACTTCAACTCTCATTATGAATAGTTTCAATTTCTATGATTCTCTTTGTATTTAGCTAGTATTGCTGTGATTGACAAATGCTGAATCTTATTCATTTTGCTTCAATTGCTAGTTACTTGGTGCTCCCCGGATATTTGAGAACGACCCATTTACGTGCACTGATGAATATGACAATATGTTTGAGGATCCTTTGTACAACTACCACAAAGATGTCCCTGATGAGCAATGGACAAGAACAACAGATTTCACTACGGGTTGTTGTATTGGGCAGTCCTCAGCCATATGTCTGGAGCTTCCTAGTGGCCAGAATTTGCCAAATTTCAAGGATATCTTTGCTTATTACGAGCAAAGTGAGGGGCAATACACATTACAGGCAGGAGTTCCCTTTTCTCAAAATGGGAGTCTTGTCCCCATTGTTGCTCCTCGAGGTGTTGAAATACCATTTGACATCTTGTTCAAAGTCAATTCATTGGTTCAGCACGTATGTCTAACTGGACCTGCACTCGATGATGACTTCTATCGCTTGGTTGATCCGCGCAGAATTCCCCTTGATTTTATTGAAAATGCTTTGGAAAAAATGTACTACTCTAAGGAATTCTGTTATGATCCCACAAAGTGGTTGACTGAACAGTACAAAAGGTACCTTCAATCAAATTCAAAGAAAGGTCCTCGGTCCCCTGCAATATCTTTGGATGCAGGGTTGGTGTATGTTCGCAGGGTTCAGATCACACCTTGCAAAGTTTACTTTTGTGGTCCAGAGATTAACGTCTCAAATCGTGTTCTCCGTCATTTCCATGAACATTTAGATAACTTTATACGTGTTTCATTTGTCGATGAGGAGTTGGATAAACTGTTTTCAACTGATCTATCATCACGTGCACAGAACAAGAAAACTGACTTGTACACGAGAATTCTTGACATCCTTAAAAATGGTATAATTATTGGCAATAAGAAGTTTGAATTTCTAGCATTTTCATCAAGTCAGTTGCGGGAAAACTCTCTCTGGATGTTTGCTCCTACAGGGACTGGATGCACTGCCGAATACATACGGAAATGGATGGGAGATTTTAGCCAGATTAGGAATATTGCAAAATATTCTGCTAGGCTGGGACAATCTTTTGGTTCATCTACTGAAACTCTAAGCGTCCCTAGGCATGAAATTGGAATTATTCCGGATGTTAAGAGGACTTCTGGTGGAAAGGAATATGTCTTCTCTGATGGTATTGGGAAAATTTCTCTTGAATTTGCAAAGAAAGTGGCTAAAAAATGTGGCTATGATTGCACCCCATCTGCCTTTCAGATTCGTTACGGTGGTTACAAAGGAGTTGTAGCTGTTGATCCAACATCACATTATAATTTATCACTGAGGAATAGCATGCAGAAGTATGATTCAGATAACACGAAGTTAGATGTTTTGGGTCGTAGTAAGTTTCAGCCGTGTTATCTGAATCGACAGTTAATTACTCTGTTATCCACTCTTGGCATCAGGGATGATGTTTTTGAGAAAAAACAAAGAGAAGCTGTGGATCAACTGAACACTATACTAACAGATTCATTGAAGGCACAGGAAGTTCTGGACTTGATGTCTTCTGGGGAGATCACCAATGTTCTGAAGGAGATGCTCATTTGTGGCTACAAGCCTAATGAGGAACCATTCCTTTCAATGATGCTGCAAATATTTAGGGCGTCAAAACTGTTGGAATTAAGACTCAAGTCCAGGATCTTTATTCCGAAAGGAAGAGCAATGATGGGATGTCTAGATGAAACTTGTACCTTGGAATATGGTCAAGTATTTGTGCAGTTTTCTAGCAATAGGCTGCAGAATCTATCTGATGATACTGATTCCTATGATTTGCCAAAAAGTTATATGGTTAATGGTAAGGTGGTAGTAGCAAAAAACCCTTGCTTGCACCCTGGTGATGTGCGTGTTTTACAAGCTGTGGATGTGCCAGCTTTGTACCACATGGTGGACTGTGTAGTTTTCCCACAAAAAGGAAGAAGGTAATAGCTTAAATATTTCTATTTCTATTAGTTTTCAACACTATCTTATGGATTGATTTAACATTTAAAGATTGTGTACAACAAAGATTTTACAGTCTCTAAAATTCAAATAAATGAGAGTGGTGGAATAATGTTTTCGTGGCTTTTATGTTTATTATGCGTGTTAAAAAATGTTTGTGTTTTTTGAGAATCTTGGGTTGGAACTCAGAATCTACTGGAATTAAAGGGACCAAGGGAATGAGTAGAAATAAAAGATAACCCTTTTACATTAAAACACTTGCAACTCAAAACAGAGAAGATATATTTAGGAGTGCTTGATGCACCTCCAAATTTCATGTTACATTTAAAAGATGTAGAAAGCAACAAGCTACACTTTAGAGAGCTAAAACTGGTTGGAACACACTCACACACAACTTACACACAGCTCACACAGCTCATTATTCTAACGAAAACTTTCCTCTAACTATCCACCAACATTTATCTCTCAAATGCTGCATGTGTATAGAAAGGAAAAAGGAGGGTAGCCATCAAGTTGCTTAGTAATACATGAATTTTCAGCATAGGCTTTTAGTAACAAATATTTATTTTCACATTGGATGGTTGGGGGTTGCTCAGTATGTATTGAAAATCATTCTAAATAAATATAAATTTCATGTTGTTTGCTCTGCTATATTTGAAGTTGTTGCATTATTTTATTCTATTTTTCTTGGGTAGGTGTCAATTTTGTTTTTCATAGAGCATTGCTATTGCTATACTATATAGTTGGCGGATCCTTTTTGTACTGCTAGGCCGTTGGAGTTTACTTGTTTCTTGAAATAATCCTGCAGTCATTTTAGTTTTGCTCTTTGTTTCTGTTTGTTGTTACTTGAGCAACCATGAGTATGAAATCGTATTGCAAGTACATATTATCCGTTAATGTATGTTCTGCCTTCTGCACTGGGCATTGACTTGTTCTGAGAGTTTTGTTCAGCATGTACCTAATGCTTATTTCAAGATTTTGTCTTTCATAATCTGTCTAGATTTCTGCTGTAAATTGAAATGGTAACATTTTGGGTAGGTAAGTGTTTTATAATTTCCTTTTAACTGTGGTGTATTGATACCACTCTGATAACTGATTTTTAATATTAGACCTCATCCAAATGAATGTTCGGGAAGTGATCTGGATGGAGATATCTACTTTGTTTGTTGGGACCCTGAGTTGATTCCTTCCCGCCAAATCCCACCAATGGACTATACTCCTTCCCCAACTACAGAGCTGCATAGATGTGTGACAATTGAGGTATCATTCTCAAAGCTTGACATCCATAGGCAATTTTTTATGTAATCTTAGCATTTTTTTCGTATTACAACCGTTACCTTGATAGAATAGATTATGTGGTTGCTTAATAACACCATTACATTTACATCTGGTTATGACAAACTTATTTTTTAAGTTGCATTGCTTGTCTTTTTGTACCTCCATTTTTTCAGTGACCATGTACATTTTTGTCTCTAAAATTTCACCCTTTGTTTTGTAGCTATCATCATTGTTTAGTATTTTTACTCGTGTCCTATAGTTAAAAAATATTTGTCCCCTTAATTCTATAGGTTTTTAGGGACTACCAAAATTGTGGTGAAAATTTTGTTTAGTTTTAGTGTAAAATTTTGATTGGAGAATTTTCTTGTTAAGCTAAAATTTTTGTACATTTCATGACTCATGATCCTCCCTCATCTTCTCCATCTCCTCTTTATATTCCTTTTTTCTTGTATTCGTTTTGTCCTGCAGCATAAAATTGTGTATAGAAGTTTGTGACTGTTTTCTTTGTGCAGGATGTTCAAGAGTACTTTACCAATTACATTGTGAATGACAGTCTGGGAATAATTGCCAATGCACACACTGTCTATGCTGACAGACAACCAGGAAAAGCCATGTCTGAAGAATGTCTTAAGCTTGCAACGCTGTTTTCAACAGCAGTCGACTTTCCAAAAACTGGTGTTCCAGCTGTTATTCCTCGTGAACTGTATGTCAAAGAATATCCCGACTTCATGGAGAAGTCTGACAAAGTCACCTATATATCGCCTAATGTAATAGGAAAGCTCTATAGGGAAGTTATGAAAACAATTTCATCAAGTGATGGTGGCTCTGTTTCATCCTTCACCCTAGAGGTCGCGAGAAGGTCTTATGACGCTGACATGGAAGTTGATGGCTTCATGGATTATGTTGATGATGCTTTCTATTACAAAACCAATTATGACTACAAGTTGGGAAATCTCATGGACTACTATGGCATCAAAACTGAAGCTGAAATCCTCAGCGGTAATATCATGAAACTGTCAAAATCCTTCAACAAAAGGAGGGATGCAGAATCAATCAATATGGCTGTGAGGTCCCTAAGGAAAGAGGCCCGGTCTTGGTTCAATGAGGGTAGCAATGGTGTGGATTCTGGAAGTGGTGATGATGCATATGCAAAAGCTTCTGCTTGGTACCATGTTACTTATCATCCTAGTTACTTGGGTTTGTACAACGAAGGAATGAAGAGGGATCATTATCTGAGTTTCCCATGGTGTGTTTACCCTCAGCTTCTCCAAATCAAGAAGGAGAAAGTCTCCAACAGAATGTACTCTTCGGCATACAGATTGAGTGGGTTGCATTTGAATGGATAACTCTGGACTCTGCATTCCCTGTTTTCTACTTGGATTTCTGGGGCACTGATTACAACTATGAGTGTTTGTTTCATGGAATAGATGTAGATATTGCGTAAGTATGAAGGACTTCCTTTGTGTAAATGTGGCTTTTAATGATTTCGTTGCAGCATCCTACATTAATCTTACACTTATGTTAGTTGTAGAAAGAGTTATGAGAAGCGTTACTTACTAAGGAGAAAAAGAAAAGAAAAACTCTCGACGAAAACTTTTGCGTAATATCAGCTTCACTTTTTGGAGCATTTAGCAAGCCAAATAGGAAAATGGGTAAATAAATATTAATAAATATTACTAAATATTACTTTTAGAAAAATTACAATCTTGATATAAAAATTTTAATTATTTTAATTTTATTTGAACTTTGTGTAATTGAACTAATCTTTATATATTTATGAATTATTCTTGTAAATATCCATACATGTTATTTTAATTTTCTTTTATATATACCAACTTTTATTCTTTTTTAATTACATTATCTATAGTTAGATATGTTTATTTTTAATACGATAAAAAACATTACTTAATACAACAATTTTAATTTTGTTAATAACCGAAGTACTCAAACATAATTAATATTTAATAATTTTCATATATTATTAAAAAATAACGTTAATATATAATTAATATTGAAAAAATATTTTATTTTATTCTTTAAATTTAAATTTTTTAATTAAATTATAAATTAATGTTAATGATTTTATTTAAATATATGTAACAGTCATTAAAGACAAACAAAAGAGATATTCAAATATATTAAGTACTAATAAAATTAAAATAAAACCAGTTATATTGTAGTTCTTTTGTTATATTAAAAGTAAAAAACATGACATATTTATTTATATTGAATACTTATTTACTAGACTAAAAAACAGTTTTAAACAAGGATAATCATACTTTAACAACATTTTTTTTACAACATTTTAATATTATCTACGTGTTATTTTATGATTTGTTCAAAATTATTTCACAATTAATAATAGTAATTATAAACATCAATATAGACCAATCACAAAATGACACGTAAATGGTGTTAAAATGTTAAAAATCAAAATATCATCATCTTTGAATAAAGACCAAGGGATAAAAATTATTTAAAGATAGATAACAAATGAATAATTTTATCAAATCATTATAAAAAATACACTTTTTTCCCTAAGCCCTACACTATATATTATTCCATGCCTATGTGTAGGATAGGATGACCTGGATTAAGACCTAAAGGAGATGCTTTTTAACGTGAACAGTACAAACCCCCACTACTTATAGAATTACAATAATGGGGATTCCTTTCTTTGGTAACGTGAAATTTGTAACTACTGTCATTAATTATATATATTACCCATCACCATTCAACATTTATATCTATATTTCTTTACTATTCAAAACTTACGAGTCTCGAAGCATCATGTTTAATCAACATATTAAAATGCTTCCTTAAACTCAGCATTTCACTGTTCTTTTCAGCTGCTTCCTTAAACTAAGCATCTTTCTATTTTGTTTCTTAATCGTGAAATGCACTGCTGCTTACAGGGCAACATCTCTATGTTTATTTACGATTTATTATTTTTTTTATCAATAATAAAGAATATATTAATGATGAACGTAATTTTACTATTTTATGAAAGAAAAATAAATATAATTCTACACGTAAATGAATAAAGATTCATAAATAAATAGATTGAAAATAGAAATGCAATAATGTACTTAAATAAAGTAATTTATTTTCACTCAAGTTTTATCGTATTCAGTTAAGTTACTTTTTTTTTTTATAATTCCTAATATTTTACATAGCTTATATGATCTTCAACTAAATAGGTTTAGATTTTTGTTTTTCGTCATGTAGTAGATATTAGGAAAATGACGTTTTTCTTTCTTTGATAACAAATAAATTGTAGTTTATCTTTGCAAATTTTCATTTTTGGCTATGCATAAACTATGATTAATTTCGAGGTTAAACATTTAGATGTATAAATAATTACAATAGACGGTTAGATAATTCAAAAGTTTGAATAATAATGAAATATTGTAATTTAGTTATTATTAATTTATTACTTGATTTATAGTGAAAGGTATTTTGTAAACTTGAAACTAAGGTATGGTCTAGTTCATCTTCATTTTTCTTACTAAATAATTATTTAGATGTATAGATAATTACAAGAGAGTTACACAATTCAATTTTTTATTAATTAATGAAATCTAGAAATTTAGTTATTATTAAGGGAATTATAGATTGTGAAAGGTATGGTCTAATTCATATGATAGGATGAAGTTTATATATCCTATTTATATTTTATAATTTGAGTTTATTTTTAGTTGATAAGACATCTCCAATAATAATTAATATTTATCTTTTTTTGAATTAGCATCTCCAACAACCATTGATACGAAGTTTCAAGAGTTTTGAATAGTGATATGTTATATTATTCCAAACCATGGTCATGATGGTACAAACAATGGTCCCAAAGGGTTGAGGCTATAAAGCCATAGGAATGACATTTTTTATGCCTTTTTGTATTCTTTAATTTATCTTCAAAAGCGAATCTGAACTTCCTCAGACAACCATCAAAGGATAAAAGGGTAAATAAACTTCACATTACATTAATGCAAGCTTCTATGGTGTTGGTGTTTCCACCATGTCAATTTCATTCTATATAAACTATTCCATAGATGAATGCAATGGCAGAGTTCTACATAATGGATCATCAATCACACCAAATTTTTGGAGATGACAAAGTGAAAATGGTGATCAACACATTACCACCAAATGGGGGAAGTGGCACATTCAGCTACTTCAAAAACTCTTACTTTCAGGTACACACATCAATGTCCCTTTCATCAACTAAATTGAGAAAATAAATTAATATAAAGTTACAAAGTTTTTGGGAGATTCTAAATTTTTGAAATTGGAAAAGCCTTGAATTCTAAATGAGTAATGATATCATGACACACTTTTACATTCATTTGACACAACCATTGTAAATTTTTGTATTGTTTCATGAAAGAAGAGAGTAAAAAGTAAGTAAGGATACTGTCAAATGAATGTAAAAGATTTAGGTGTGTCGAAGAATCTTTACTCATTATAAATGCATAGATCTCATTGTTTTCAAGGTTCATATACGCGTGTGTTTATATATTAAAGAGTTATGAACACCAATGCATTTAAATTTTGAAGTTATTGTTACCCTTTAATTTTGAATTTGAAACTTCGGAAGGCAAAAATACCTCAAAGAAGAATTTTTTGAACAGTTTTTGGAGTGTATTTTCCTTTTCTTTCACACTTGATTATGTGAGGAATCTTTGAGAAAGTGTTGTGTGAGATATTTTTGTGTGTCTTGAGATGTAAACTATAATTTTGGATTGAACTATAAGGTTGATGAGAAAGTACTTGTCTACTATGTCGTTTCCCTTTTGGGATTCAGATTCAATAGGTGGTGGAATTTAACATTGATTCCTTGTATGAAGACTAATTATTACTACTTTATGCACTTTTCATGTCACTGTTATGATTTTCTGTATCAAGTTGAGCTTAATTAATGAGCATGGTAATTAGTTATTAATTAATTGCGGTTGGCATCCCTAATTGTCCTTTATAAGTGGAAAAGAAACATCAATTTCTTTTTCTAATCTTTGAATCTACTTTTTAGAGTTTAAACTTTTCATAAATGATGTTATTCTTTTACTTAACTGTTTCGAGGAAAAACACAAACAAAATTAGTTTTAAATTCCTACTTTTAATTTGCACTTGTCAAAATTTAATTAATTGTTATTGTCCATTTTCTCACCATTCACAGGACAGATCCCAGATTTCCCAACGCATAAAATCGGCATAGTCAAATTGTCAAATGCTTGTTTCTAAATTGATAAAAGTATTTTAATTGCTAGCTAATTATTGAAAATAAATTATATAAAATATTTTACTACCAACATGTTTCCAGCAACTTTTATAATGAAAAATAATTCTTTCACACACTTAAACTTTTTATATTTAATGCTATACTTCTTACTTTTTTCTCTTTTCTTTTTTTAAAAATATAAAATTTTACATTTTTATAACTATTTTATCCTTATATCCTTTCTCAAATGAATATAAAAAGTATGTTATGGTACCATTATTTTTTTATAAAAGTTTTGGACCAAAGTAACACAACTTGGTTCGCATATTCTCTTAATTAAATACTTAATTAAAATTTTCATCGCATTTCTTCCATATACATAAATCAATGTATATGCTAATAGAGGGTGTTGGTGAAAAAAATATAGTTATTGTTTGTAATGTTCTTTATAAACATTAAGAAAGTTTGAAAGCAAATGTTGAAAAAATGTCATTCTAAAGAAAAAATGCTTGTAGAAACGAAGTTCAAGTGTTGAAGAGAGTAAGATTGAAGAAGAAATCCAGAAGAAGCTGGATATGGAAAAGATAGCTTCTGCTTCAAACATGATTATTCGTGTGGTGGATTTAGGATGTGCAACTGGTCCAAACACGATCATGACTGCACAAAGTGTGGTTGAAGCCATGAAACACAAGTACAAAACACAATGTCCGAACACCGAAACAGCACCAGAATTTCATGTCTTCTTCAACGACCTACCATCGAATGATTTCAACACCCTTTTCACCAGTTTGCCAAAAGATGGAAACTTTTTCGCATGTGGTGTTCCTGGTTCTTTCTACAATCGCTTGTTCCCTGAATCATCCATTCATTTTGCACATTCAACTTATGCGCTGCACTTTCTTTCAAAGTCACCTGAAGAGACGAACGAGGCTGCATGGAACAAAGGTAGAATTCACTACACAAGTGCTTCCAGGGAAGTGGTCGATGCATATGCAACTCAATTTGCCAGAGATGCAGGGAACTTCTTCGATGCTAGGGCTATGGAACTTGTGCCAGGTGGCATGTTGGTCATAGTCATGCAAGGTGTTCCCAATGGCATGCCTTATTCTCACATCATCAATGGTATGCTGTTTGATTGTATGGGATCTATCCTCATGGACCTTTCCAAGGAGGTAATCACCATTTTCATTTCTTTCTTCCATGTGCTGCATGCATGTCAGAATGAAAGTAGTTTCAATATCAACAAATTTTGCAATAAAAAATGATAGAAAAGGATAAAATGTTTTATGAAATAGTATAATTTAACTCTGAAAAATCGATTTTTATAATGT